ATCGAAAACTTTGTAGAATGAAGGAATAGATACTTATTAAATCGGTGTCTATGTCGGTACAGCAATTTCTCCCTAATTCGCGCTCAGATTGCGCACATAAATGGACAATTTGAGAAGATGAGATACGATTATTCGAGCACTGCGGCACGTTTTTTATAATTACCGATTGTCAACAACCATAAAAACGAGCTGCGAGGCTCGAATAATCGCATCTTCTCCTCCCGAATTGTCCATTTTTGTACGCAATCGGAGCGCGAATTAGGGAGAAATTGCTGTATTTCGAGTTTAAATTACATTTCTCTGGATATGGTGTTTCCAAAAACGGCAGCCAATAATTTTCGACGAGAAATGGACCGATTCGTCGGACACGTGTAACAGGTTTTCTTCGAATAACATTTTGTACGCGAAAAATGTGCGACTTTCATACATGAAACGGCTTGTAAGAGAATAAATAGATGACGAATAAATAGATATTTACTGGAGCTTGTGACATATGAATTATTTTCAAAGAACGAAGCTTAATGTAAGAAAATCTGTAACGAAATATATGAACGATTTACATATTAATGACTTTTTAACGTTGCAAGCAATGTCTATAGTAATTCCGATCACGCGCGTGGACAGTTAATAATGTGCAATTTAAATTATGAAACACCGTTACGTGCTATCGATCAAAAGCCTCACCCTAAATCGACGAATCCCGCGCTCACAGATACAGAGAGAAACGAACAGCTAGCTCAGGAAATAATTGTACTTTTTGCTTCGAACACGTTGGACGTTTTACTGACATTTCGAGCTGCACCTCGCGACCAAACTGGGTTTTCTTTCGAAAACGTAACGTGCAATCAAAACGTCGTCAGAAGGAATGTGTCGTTGTTAATCGAGATTTAAAAGTATTTTAGATTTGTGCATAAGAAATGCCGGATTTTCATTGCGTGTAAATGTTCGTTATATTGTTAACGACAAAACCTCTTTTTTGCTGTTTCATCGTGCATTGTCTGCGTCATATTTTAAACTATTTTTAAAATTATCTTTATTTTAAACTATTTTCAAATATTATAAACAAGAATGTTCCCGAAATCCTGTATTTTTATCATTTATTTTCAGTTTTGTTCGATCGCATGCGTCGCAAAAAGAAAAAAAACAGTTCCAAAATTAAACAACTCGAAGCATGAATGATGATTTGCATTTTTTTGTTTTTTAAACACCTAGAACTCTCCGTAGCAAAGTTCATTCGTTCGAAAGGCCAGAACTTTAAAAATGGCATTTATACAATTAAATACACGTTGGTAAAAGTGATTAAATAAACATCTTTAGAAAGAAAAAAAAGATACGAACTTTTTACTATTCATATAAAAATAATAATATATTAGGGGGGCCGGAAAGTAATGTCGTTTCTGCGCATATCAGTATCCCTTTCTTTTGCATACTAATTTTTGCATACTAAAAATTTGCATACTAAATGAAAAAAGGCTGTTGATGATGAGGGTGATTACATCATTGATTGAAAATAAAAACTAGTTAAAAATTTATCTGTTTGAATTTAACGTAAACAAACGACATAACTTTCCGGTCCCCCTAATAAATAAAATAATATATATAATAATAATAAAATAATATAATATATAAAATAATATACAAAATATATAATATAAATATATATAATATAAAAATCGGACATTTCACATACACCGAACAGTTTTTGGCGCATCTGTTTCCGACGGTTCGAGGTAAATCCGAATGCAACCCGTACGCGGCCGAATCGGAACATTTACAGAGTGCTCTTGCAACGATAAATTCCAGGATCGCGCGATCGTGCGGATGATTTTTTATTACACGGAAGCGATCGGGCGCACATATTTTCCGTCCGCGTCGCCTTCACGGACGCGGCGGAACTTCTCGCGTGCAAGTCCGTTGTCGTTGCTTTAATTCAAACGTCTTCCCAGCCTGTACTAAGCATCGTGTTCCTCGACAATCGTCATCGATCAAAAGCGAAATACAAGCATGTGCATGCATATTAATCCTGCAGGCTCGCGGACACATTGAGAAACAGCGTCTGAAACGTCTGCCGTAATTTCTCATTTCCGAAGTTTTTAGAGGGCGGTTAGATAGACAAACAGTTTCCCGATCGAAATTCATCGGCGCGGACGACCTTCGGAGATATTCGTTCGATCTACGATTAAAGTGCAATGATTATCCTTCGTCCCCGAACCCTGAACGTTCGCCGTATAGCCGAGAGAGCGTCAGGCTTAATTGGTTCGATATCGATCAAAATACACGCCGTATAATAGCGCGCGTGCATAAATGGCCGCACAATAAGCGCGGTGTGTTTTCTATGCGAGAAGAAAGAAAAGAATGCATCGCGTATCATTCGATAAAAAAAAGCTTGTAAATCGCGTTAGAACCTTCAACGTCGACTTACGCATCTGTGTGTCGCTAAGGGATGAGCATTTTTGCTTAAGAGCCAGAGACTGCGCACACTATGACACAGTTACTNAGCGCGGTGTGTTTTCTATGCGAGAAGAAAGAAAAGAATGCATCGCGTATCATTCGATAAAAAAAAGCTTGTAAATCGCGTTAGAACCTTCAACGTCGACTTACGCATCTGTGTGTCGCTAAGGGATGAGCATTTTTGCTTAAGAGCCAGAGACTGCGCACACTATGACACAGTTACTACTGTGATCAAAAAGTAAGGTGAAATTGTCATTTAAAACTCCCGGACATTAGGAAGGCAGACAATTGTTTTTTTCCTAGGTTGGTAGGACTGTCTATAACAATTGCCAAGCGTCTGTTTGTTAAAAGGTTTAATTATCTCCGAGTTACACGTGTTTTAGTAAACGACTAAAAGTGAATTTTTTTATAAGTGGTACAACGAGTTCAAAGCGGGCCGAGAACGCGTTGAAGACGAACCGCGCTCTGGACGACCATCAACGTCTACCGACGAGGGCCACGTCCAAAAAAATCGAAGATTTGGTGCTTGAAAATCGTCGACTGACAATGAGAGACCTCGCTGATAGTGTTGGAATATCATTTGGCTCAGTCCAAACCATTTTGAAGGATGTTTTGTGTCTCAAACGCGTCAAGTCTCGATTGGTGCCATGTCATACTGCATTGGTTCTTCGCGACTTTTTTGCCAAAAACTCGACTCATATCGTTCCGCAACCACCGTATTCGCCTGATTTGGC